ACACACACACACATATATATGTGTGTGTGTGCCCTCGCTCACACACACACACATATATATGTGTGTGTGTGTGCCCTCGCTCACACACACACATATATATGTGTGTGTGTGCGCTCGCTCACACACACATATATATATGTGTGTGTGTGTGTGCGCTCGCTCACACACACACATATATATGTGTGTGTGCGCGCTCGCTCACACACACACACACATATATATATGTGTGTGTGTGTGTGCGCTCGCTCACACACACACGTACGGGGGGGGCTTCGTTTCTCACTGGATGCGTCCCGCGCCGCCGCGGCCATGGCGACATGGGGTGTACTGGATGTGGTGTGCCGGTGTGGAAACATTTTCTGGACAGACCCGTGCTGAATTCTAGCCATGGATGTATGCATACGCAAGCACATACCGTGTGTGTGTAACAGTGTGTGTGTATATATTGTGGGCAGCGGTAATGTAGCAGTTAGCGCGCTGCGCTACGAACCTAGCGACCCAGATTCGATTCCCGCTCACGGCCAACACCAGTGACGACTATTTGAACCGGTCCTGGGTCTCTCCTAGGTTAACTCCGCCTCAAATGATTACCTGGTACGGTATGCAAACATCGCCACTGGGGAGACAAAGGTGGCCGGGCGTAGTGCTGGCCACCCACCCCTCGTGTGCCGTGCCGGCCTTCATATGTGCTCGCTAAAGCACTTGCCCCAATAGTATGTTTAGCCTATATGGGTGATCTTTGTATTTGCCTTTGTATATAGATATATACATACCTGGGCGCGAAATGTGCCTCTGAGTTGTGAGTGTAGCCGGGTGTTTGTGTTGGTTTACGCGTCTGTCTGCTAAATGTTTACACGTGGGTCTGAGTGTTTGTGGGTCTGTGTGTTTTGTGAGTCTGTGTGTGTGTTTGTGAGTCTGTGTGAGTCCGTGTGTTTGTGAGTCTGCGTGTATCAGTCTGTCTGTGTGTCGGTCTGTGTGTCATCCTGCGTGTTTGGCTACGGGTGTGAAGAATGCGGTGTGTGTGTATACGGGGGTGGAGCGGTGGCGCAGTGGTTAGAGCACCACTGCGAGGGCGCTATGCATCCTTGCCGCACCTGAGTTCGATTGCCGACCACGGCTCACATCAGTGGCGAGTGGCTCGTGAAGCGCACCTGGGATACTCTCCGCTTCACAGCCCCCTCACTCTGCTGCGTGGTATTAATCCAGCAGTGGATTTACAGCGATGGTTGTAAATTAGAACTATGATTTATTTGTTATTCTATGCGAGGTGTTCAGAATGCGTGTGTTCTGTATGCAAGCACGTGTAATGTCGGTTTCGGAGGAGTCTGTATGTATGCATCGGCGTGATGATCGTGTCGACATATGGGAGATGGAGTCATGGAATCAGGCCGTGTGCACGTGCTGGGTGGATTGTTACTTGCAGGGTCGTTAGTGGGGGGGGCAGCCTGCGTCCAGCAGTGGATTGAACATGGCTGATGGTGATCGCGTTGGTATGTGTACACGCGTGTGTCGGTATGTGTCTGTGTGTAACGTGCACACGCGTTTGTAGCGAGCTGTGTGGCCGTGGTGTGTATTGTATATCCATGGTGGTGGTGGTGGTGTCACCCATGGTGATGTTGTGTGAGTGTGAACGTGGTGGTGGTGGTGTTGTGTCACCCATGGTGATGTTGTGAGTGTGAACGTGGTGGTGTTGTGTCACCCATGGTGATGTTGTGTGAGTGTGAACGAGGTGGTGGTGGTGTTGTGTCACCCATGGTGATGTTGTGTGAGTGTGAACGTGGTGGTGGTGTTGTGTCACCCATGGTGATGTGTGAGTGTGAACGTGGTGGTGGTGTTGTGTCACCCATGGTGATGTTGTGTGAGTGTGAACGAGGTGGTGGTGGTGTTGTGTCACCCATGGTGATGTTGTGTGAGTGTGAACGTGGTGGTGGTGTTGTGTCACCCATGGTGATGTGTGAGTGTGAACGTGGTGGTGGTGTTGTGTCACCCATGGTGATGTTGTGTGAACGAGGTGGTGGTGGTGTGTCACCCATGGTGTTGTTGTGTGAACGAGGTGGTGGTGGTGTGTCACCCATGGTGATGTCGTGTGAACGAGGTGGTGGTGTGTCACCCATGGTGTTGTTGTGTGAACGAGGTGGTGGTGGTGGTGGTGTTGTGTCACCCATGGTGATGTCGTGTGAACGAGGTGGTGGTGGTGGTGTTGTGTCACCCATGGTGTTGTTGTGTGAACGAGGTGGTGGTGGTGGTGTGTCACTCATGGTGATGTTGTGTGAACGAGGTGGTGGTGGTGGTGTGTCACTCATGGTGATGTTGTGTGAACGAGGTGGCCCTCTCGGCGTGGGCTCTGCCGTGAGCGACGCTCCGAGTGGACGAGCCGGCGATGCTGACTGTGCATACATCACGCAGGTTATGTCTCATAGCAGGTTGCGCGCGTGTTGACTGGCTTGAGCCGGTTTTGTGTAAATACGTTTCAAGGTGTGTACAATTTGTGCAATATTTAGATATTGTGTGTGTGTGCTGTTGTGTATCCGTGGCGTGTGTGTATCAAGCCGTATGCGTGCATTGTATTTGCGAATTGTAGATGTTATGTTATAAAGGCATGGTTTTGTAGTGTGTATGTGCATGGGTGTGTGGATATATTGTGTGGGCAGCGGTAGTGTAGTGGTTAGCGCTCCGCTGCGCTGCGAACCTGGCGACCCGGGCGCGATTCCCGCTCACGGCCAACACGACGATTATCTAGGCCGCTCCTGGGCTTCCCTTAGGTCGACCCAGCCTGAAATGAGTACTCGATGCGATGTGTGAACACCGCCACTATGGAGGATAAAGGCGTCCGGGCACGGTGCTGGCCACCCACCCCCTCGCATGCATTGCCACTCTCTAACGCTACTTACTCCTACAGTTTATTTAGGCTGTACGGGGGATCTTTGTCTCTATATATTGCATTGCGTGCTCGTGGTTTGTGGCACATGCTATGATGTGTAAGTGCGCGTTACCCACACATACACAACGCGTATGGGAGCAGTTGCTACGAATTCTATTCTCGGTCACGGCCAATGTCAATGGCGGATGATATCATCTCGGCCACATGCGAGTACCGCTTACGGTGTGTAAACATCGGGACGGGGAGACAAAGGCGGCCGGGCGCGGTGCCATCCACGGCAGCCCCTTGCGCACCGCTACCATCCTTCATCGGTGCTCGCTTGCGCCAACAGGCCGTGTGGGCTACACGGGGCAACTTTGTCTTTGTAGTCGTGAGTTGTCGACTAGCGAGGTGAGCCGAGTCGCTGCGTTGAGTCGCAACCCCCCCCCCCCCCAGATGACCCCCCCCCAGATGACCCCCCCCAGATGACCCCACCCCCCCCCCCCAGATGACCCCCCCCCAGATGACCCCACCCCCCTCGCTGTCAACCTCCCCCGTGTCCCCCCACGCACCCCCGTGTCCTTGCGATTTCGACCCCAAAGGGGGTCACGCCGCGTGACGTCACGGGGCTCGACTGCCCTTGGCGTTTACTCAAAATTAAGGGTGGGGGGGGGGGCAGCGTGGGGGGCAGCAGGGAGGGAAGGAATGGGAAGGGGCCCGGTGTGAAGTTGACGGATGCGTGGGAGGGAGGGGGAGAAGGGGGAGGCAGCGGCGGGAGGGAACAAGGTGGTGGTGAGGGGGGCTTGTTGGCTTCCCAGGTGACACCCCCCGCCCCCTCCCCCCGCCCCCTCCCCCCGCCCCCAGCCCCCCAGCCCCTGCCAGCTCCCGTCAGCGGGCGCGGCTCCCGCGAGTCGCGGCCGCGCGCGGATTTCAGTCAAAAAGCATTAGGGGAGGATTAGGGGACACGCGCCCAGAGCTACCGGGGTGGGGTGTGCGGGGAGCCGCGGTGCCCAACGCCCCCTGCCCCCTCCCGAGCACCATCCCTCACCTCGCTGACACAGCGATAGAGGAGGCATGGCCGGGGGGGGGTCCCTGGAACCCCCGAAAAGGGGATTCATTCCCGTGGGGTCGCGACACTGCGCCACGCGTGAGCGGCGACGTGCGGACCGAAGTAACGCGCTCGGCTGTGCCGCCACAGCGCCGCCTGTGTGCACACACACACGCAGCCGCCTGTGTGTGCACACACACGCCGCCTGTGTGCACACACACACGCAGCCGCCTGTGTGTGCACAGACACACGCAGCCGCCTGTGTGTGCACACACACGCCGCCTGTGTGTGCACACGCAGCCGCCTGTGTAGCGAAGCGCTGCTGCTGCACGCTCCCCTTTGACACCGCCGTGTGTGTGTACTCTGTGTGTGTGTACACACACAGAGTACACACAGCACACACGTGTGTCTGGTTGGTGTTGTCGCGTGAAGCCGCGTACACTACTACGACTGCTCCTGTTTTGTCGCGTACACTGCTACTGTGATGTCGCGTACACTACTACTGTGATGTCGCGTACACTACTACTGTGATGTCGCGTACACTACTACTGTGATGTCGCGTACACTACTACTGTGATGTCGCGTACACTACTACTGTGATGTCGCGTACACTACTACTGTGATGTCGCGTACACTGCTGCGAAGTCGCGTACATTGCTACTGTGAAGTCGCGTGCACCGCTACTGTGTTTGTCGCGTGCACCGCTATTGTGTTTGTCGCGTGCACCGCTATTGTGTTTGTCGCGTGCACCGCTATTGTGTTTGTCGCGTGCACCGCTATTGTGTTTGTCGCGACCACCGCTATTGTGTTTGTCGCGTGCACTGCTATTGTGTTTGTCGCGTGCACCGCTATTGTGTTTGTCGCGTGCACCGCTACTGTGTTTGTCGCGACCACCGCTATTGTGTTTGTCGCGTGCACCGCTATTGTGTTTGTCGCGTGCACTGCTATTGTGTTTGTCGCGTGCACCGCTATTGCTGCTGCTGTTGTCGCGTCGCGTACGCGGTCGCGCCGCGTTGGCCGAGCTGAGCGCGAAGTGAGCCGTGTGTGTGTGCGTGTGTGTGTGTGCCCGTGTGTGTGTGTGTGGCCACTCAGTTGCGGCCCTCTCTCCCGCAGACCATCCTCAACTCCATGCACAAGTACCAGCCGCGCTTCCACATCGTGCGCGCCAACGACATCCTCAAGCTGCCCTACTCCACCTTCCGCACCTACGTCTTCTCCGAGACGGACTTCATCGCGGTGACCGCCTACCAGAACGACAAGGTGAGTCGACGAGGAGCGACCCCCACCTCTCTCACAGCCGTGCCCCCCCCTCTCACAGTCGTGCCCCCCTCCCTCTCACCCGTGCCTCTCTCACCCGTGCCCCTCTATCACTCCCATGCCCCTCTCTCATCCGTACCCCCCCTCTCTCTCACCCGTCCCTCTCACCTGGGCACGTGTCGAACCTCGCCGCCGCACCACGCGCTTAGACACGTCGGCACATTTGCAGTAACAAAGACAAAGCTCCCCCGGATAGCCTTTAACAGACGGTTGGGGGGTAAGTGCTGTGAGCGAGTCGCGGCAACTGTGAAGGTTGCCACAGCCACACGAGGGGGTGGTGTGGTCTCAACCATACCCGGCCAGACAACCGCTATTTCATCCCCCTGTGGTGATATGTATAAACCGCACTCGGTTAAGGCTGAGTCAACCTAGGCGAGGCACAGAACCGGTTTAAATATTCGCCACTGTCATAGGTCGTGAGCGGGAATCGAACTCGTGTAGCCGGGTTCGTAGCGCAGCGCGCTCACCGCTGCGCACACATGTAAGACAAAGGCAAAGATCTGCCATATAGCCTAGCAGACTGTAGGGGCAAGTGCTGTTAGCGAGCGCCTATGGAGGCCGGAACAGCACACGAGGGGGTGAGTGGCCAGCACCACGCCCGGCCGCCTTTGTCTCCCAAGTAGCGATGTTTACACACCGCACCAGGTACTCATTGGAGGCCGAGTCGACCTAGGGGAGACCCAGGACCGGTACAGATAATCGTCACTGGTGTTGGCCATGAGCGGAATTCGAACTCTTGTCATCAGATTCGTCGCGTAATGCGCTAGCCGCTACATCACACACACATTTCAACACACACAATCTGACTGACACGCACAGCGCAATTCACACACAAACCACATGAACACGGAACTTAAATCCACACAGACGTGCACACACTTCAAACACACGCACGCACGTAAACACGGATACTTAAAGTCGCACAATGACACGCACACACGCGCGCGCACACACAGACACTCAAATTAACACACAAAAGACAAACGCAGAAATGTAAACTCACACACGCACTTCCATGCGCGCACGCACACACTGACATACGCACGGACAATTATTTTCCCAGACACACACACACTTAAATTCACACACATACAGCCGCTTAGACTCACACAGAAGCACATACACTCAGCTTCACAGACAGACTAAACTCACACGCACACGAACGCACATGCACTCTTGAATCTCACAATCAAAAACACACTTACAGCGTTAAAGAAAAAGAACCCCCGTATAACCTTAACAGACTGTTGGGGCAAGTGCTGTTAGCGAGTAGCACCTATGAAGGCCGGAACGGCGCATGACGGGATGAGTGGGCAGCTCCACGTCACGCCCGGCCGCCTTTGTCTCCCTGGTGGGGATGTTCATCGAACCATATAGGTATTAATTTGAGTCTGAGTCGACCGAGATGAGGCCCAGAACTGGTTCAGATAATCGTGTTGGTGGCTGTGAGCGAGAATTGAACTCGGGCCTCTGCCGACTTGGTAGTGCAGCGCGCTAACCGCTACACTACCGCTCCCCACACACACACCTCCCAACACACACACACACACACCTCCCAACACACACACACCTCCCAACACACACACACACACACCTCCCAACACACACACACCTCCCAACACACACACACACACACACCTCCCAACACACACACACACACACCTCCCAACACAGACACATTTACACCCTTCTCCCAACACACACACACACTCTCCCAACACACACACACCTCCCAACACACACACACACCTCCCAACACACACACACACCTTCTTTCAACACACACACATCTACACCCTTCTGGCAACACACACACCTTCTCCCAACACACACACACACATCTACACCCTTTTCGCAACACACACACACCTTCTCCCAACAAACACACACACACCTCCCAACACAGACACACCTCCCAACACACACACATCTATACCCTTCTCCCAACACACACACACACTCTCCCAACACACACACACACACCTCCCAACACACACACACACACACCTTCTCCCAACACACACACACACCTTCTCTCAACACACACACATCTACACCCTTCTGGCAACACACACACCTTCTCCCAACACACACACACATCTACACCCTTTTCGCAACACACACACACCTTCTCCCAACACACACACACACACCTTCTCCCAACACACACACACCTCCAAACACACACACCTACACCCTTGTCGCAACACACACGCACACACCTTCACCCTTCTCACGCTCGCTGGTGCGAACATAAACTCGCACACGCAATCCAACGCACGCATAATCGCACACATAATTAAACTCGCACAGACGTGAGCTCACACAAATTCACGTACAAACACACACGCGCACATACACACACGAAATACAAAGATCACCCGTATAGCCTTTATAAGACTGTTGGGGTAAGTGTTGTAAGCGAGTAACACCTATGAAGGCCAGCACGGCACACGAGGGGGTGGGCGGCCAACACCACGCCCGGCCGCCTTTGTCTCCCTAGTGGCAATGTTTACACATCGCACAAGATACTCATTTGAGGCTGAGTCGACCTAGGGGAGGCTCAGGACCGGTTCACATAATCGTAACCGGTGTTGGCCGTGAGCGGGGAATCGAACCCGGGTCGCTGGGTTCATAGCGCAGCATGCTAACTGCTACACTACCGCTCCCACACGTACACACACACAGGTACACACACACGTACACACAGGTACACGCACACACACACACAGGTACACACACACACACGTACACACACACAGGTACACACACACGTACACACACACAGGTACACACACACAGGTACACACACAGGTGTACACACACACAGGTACACGCACACACACACACACAGGTACACACAAGGTACACGCGCACGCACAACACGTGCACCCGATACACCCGTCGGACTCGCGCGGGTGGCAATGCAGGATGCGTGCCGCGTGGGGTACGCGCGCCGCACGCCGCGGTAATGCGCTCGGCAAACACGGGGGGAGCACCGAGGCGCGCGCGGGGGGGGGGGGCGCGGGGGGGGGGCGCGCGGGGGGGGGCACGCGCGGAGAGGGAGGGGGGGCGCGAGGGGGCGCGCGGCGCGGGGCGACCGAACCAGAAAATCAGGAACACCCGGGCGCGTGTGTGTGTGTACCTCTGTGTGTGTACCTGTGTGTGTGTGTACCTGTGTGGGGAGCGGTATTGTAGCGGTCAGCGCGCTGCGCTATGTACCTGGCGACCCGGGTTCGATTTCCACTCACGGCCAACACCAGTGACGATTATCTGAACCGGTGCTGGGCCTCCCCTAGGTCGACTTAGCCTTAAATGAGTACCTGCTGCGGTGTGTAAACATCGCCACTGGGGAGACAAAGGCGGTCCTGCGTGGTGCTGGCCACCCACCCCCTCGTGTGCCGTTCCGGCCTTCATAGGTGCCCGCTAACCGCATTTGCCCCAACAGTCTGTTGAGGCTATACCGGGATCTCTGTCTTTTATTTGTGCATGTACTTTCAGAGCATGCTAAGTACGAATACACAAAGCGTGGTGTCTCATGCACATATCATTTGTACGAATTTCGTGCGTGTTTAACATTATGTATGAACGTGTGGGTGTGTACGTATCAAACGGTCCCTATTGTACCGTACACATTGTTGATGTACATTGATGTCCTTTGTATATGTGTGTATTGTGTCTGCGTATCACACAGCGAACGATATGTTACCCCCATCTCGTGGGATCATCCCGGTGAAATGTTGTTATTTAAGCTCAGCAGCGGTTATGTACAATGTCTGTGTAATGTTCATTGTATGAAGTATTGTGTGTACTGTGTATTATTGTTGCACGGCAACATAACGCGGATTTAAATATGAAGGTTTTAACATCGTAATTTTTTGGCATTATCGGTAACCGAATGAGTAAAACCGGTTCAGGCGCAGGTTACCGATTTTCCGGCTGAGAAAGAGAGGCAGCAGCTGTAGCTGTAGCAGCTGTAGCTGCTGTAGCAGTAGCAGCTGCTGCAGCTGTAGCAGCTGTAGCAGCAGTAGCAGCTGTAGCAGTAGCAGCTGCTGCAGCTGTAGCTGTAGTAGCTGTAGCAGCTGTAGCTGCTGTAGCAGCTGTAGCTGTAGCTGCTGTAGCAGCTGTAGCAGTAGCTGCTGTAGCAGTAGCAGCTGCTGCAGCTGTAGCAGCAGTAGCTGCTGTAGCAGCTGTAGCAGTAGCTGTAGCAGTAGCTGCTGTAGCTGTAGCAGCAGTAGCTGCTGTAGCTGTAGCAGCAGTAGCTGCTGTAGCTGTAGCAGCTGCAGCAGTAGCTGCTACAGCTGCATCTGCTGAAGCTGTAGCTGCTGTAGCTGTAGCTGCTGTAGCTGCTGCAGCTGTAGCAGTTACCTATTCTGGAACCGGTTTAGCTGTTACCGGTTTAACAAGCCTCCTGTTCTCCGTAATCGCGTCTGCATGCGACAGCATCTCCGTGCTGAAACAGTGGAAGTGTTTAATTCATAGAGGTAACCGTAGGTGCAGTGACACACACACATATATATACAGTCTACAAGTGTGTGTTTGGTTTATTATTACTGTGGGGAGCGGTGGTGTAGCGGTTAGCGCTACGCTGCGTTATGAACCCGGTGAGCCGAGTTCGATTCCCTCTCACGGCCAACACCGGTGACGATTATCTGAACCGATCCCAGGCCTCCCCTCGGTCGACTCAAACGAGTACCTGGTGTGGTGCGTAAACATCGTCACCAGGGAGACAAAGGCGGTCGGGCGTGGTGCTGACCACCCCACCCCCTCGTGTACCGTTACGGCCTTCATAGGTGCTCGCAAACAACACTTGCCCAAACAGTCTGCGCAGGCTATACGGGGGATCTTTGTCTTTATTATCCATCACTGCATATACATCACACGTGCGTGCATTGTGTTGTGTACATGGCAGATGTAAAATGTGTACCGTGAGTGCTGTGTAT